TGTTATCTCAGACAATCAAGAGGACTACTTTGTCCTGGTTGACGTGGGGCTTCAAAAATTGTTGCAGACAAGGAGAAAGTATTCCATTATTTGTGTTTTGGAGGTGGAGTGGAAATTTGGGAGAATCTGTAGGTGAGCCATTCCCTGCATAATATCCAGTTTCTGACCTGCTCTCTTAATTATAACGATGGTTGGTCCAGTTTAGTAAATGGTTAATAGTAAACACTAGGATGTGGGTGACACATTATGTGGGTAATGTCCTACTCCCTCTTGCTTCAAAAGTTCTTTACTACTCGTCCTCAATGTTTTTCATAATCACCTTATTAATCAATTGTTTTCTCTTGCAAAAGTTTCCCCTCTTCTAATATCATTATCTCTCACTATTCTCCATCCTTTTTTCAATTTTTCAGAGATATTTGCCTACATCCCTCCTTTCAGTCTTTAGAACTAGATCATTTACAGCCTTTATTGTTAGATTAAGAGATGAATTCTAAACACATTGTAGGAACTGATTCTCTTCTTTTCCCTACACATTACTATGGTTCAAGAGATAATTAAAATCACATTTGTATCGCCTTATTTTATGTGAAGCCTTGCTACTGAGCAAAAAAAAAAACAACAAAAAAACTACATACCTTTGTTTAGAAAGATCCCTCTTATTTGCAACCAGCACTGTTGGTATTCTAAAAGATGAAGAGAAATCAACAAATAGTAGTTGTGTCTACAGTAATGAGAAACGAAATCAAGCACCAGAACAGGCATTTGTGATCAGTGCACCCAAGTTTGTGATAAGCAACTATGGGAACTAATATGGGTTATCTTCAGATACCCTATGTTATCCTTTGATGAAACTAGATAATTGAAGTTTCTCAGAGCCAGCAAATGGATACTGCATTCAGTTGTGGTCTCCCTGCTCTAGGATAGATGTTGTTAAACTCGAAAGGGTTCAGAAGAGATTTACAAGCATGTTGCCAGAGATGGATGGTTTGAGATATAGAGAGGTGCTGACTAGGCTGGGTCTATTTTTCCGCAGCATCAGAGGCCAAGGAGTGGCCATGCAGAGGTTTATAATATTATGAGGGCCAAGGGTAGGGTGATTAGCCAAGGTCATTTTTCCAGGGTAGGGATGTCCAAAACTAGGGGGAATAGGTTTAAGGTGAAAGGGGAAATATTTAAAAGGGATCTAAAGGGCAACTTTTTCACGCAGAGGGTGGTGCGTGTATAGAATAAGCTGCCAGAGGAAGTGGTGGAGGCTGGTACGATTACAACATTTAAAAAGGCATCTGGATGGGTATATGAATAGGAAAAGATTAGAGGGACATGGGCCAAATGGGACTAGATTTATTTAGGATATCTAGGGGAGGCAATGGCCTAATGGTATTAAATCGCTGGACTGTCAATCCAGAGACCCAGATAACATCCTGGGGACCTGGGTTCAAATCCCCCCACGGCAGATGGTGGAATTTGAATTCAATAAAAAGTATCTGGAATTAGGAATCTAATGATGACCGTGAATCCATTGTTGATTGTCCGAGAAACCAATCTGGTTCACTAATGTCCTTTAGGGAAGGAAACTGCCATCCTTACCTGGTCTGGCCTACATGTGACTCCAGACCCACAGCAATGTAGTTGACTCTTGTCTGCCCTCTGGGCAATTAGGGATGGGCATTAAATGCTGCCTATCCAGCGACGCCCTCATCCCATGAATGAATGAAGGAAAAAAAAAATATATAGTCAGCCCGGACTAGTTGGACCAAAGGATCGGTTTCCGTGCCATACGACTCTATGACTAACTCTCTTCAACAGGATACTTATATTTCAATGAACGTCAAATTGCAATCAACTGTAAAAACTTATTGTAGCATTTGATGCACTTACCACACTTCCATTTCAAGACTGAATCATGTAGCAGCCAAGCACTTCAACAATGCTTGAAAGCATTCTCAGCTATAATACCACTCAACGCTGTATTAAGATCATTGAACTTTGTGAAGAATGGTACAGTAATATTGGCCAAGGCTCCTAGTATTATGAAAGCCACCCCATTTAAATTACAAACATATTCCAGAGAGCAAAAATCAACTGCATTAGCACACTATTACGAATTAAGTTGTTCTAAAATATGACTGATTCTTGCCACTGTATTTTCAAAAGCAGGCAAAGGTCCATATGATCAGAAAACAAAGCACAACACAGGATATCCATCACTGGTATATGAGGGTTACTAGAGAAGCTGTTGGCCTTTTGCCTGCAAAACACAGGAGTTTCTGGTAGTAGCAGTGCAGTCTCATTTACCAATTCAAATTGTTACACTGCAAGGTAATGTAGCTTTATTACAGCCACTGAGAAATCTAAGAATTCAATATTTCCTAGTATTCACATTTTTGATTGGAGCTCATGATCCAAGTAAAAAACAAAAATCCCAAAATGTGAAATAAAGAACAGATTACATCAATATAAATGGCCAAAAGAACTGCTTTGTCTAAATAGTCAATTCAACATCAAAGGAGAGTTGAGGCTTTTGACTTCAGGTCATAATGGCAAACTATTAACTATAGGCTGACAATGTTCGATTTCCCCTTCAGCAGCCCCAAGATTCAAAGTTCAATGGTAGCTACTAATCAGATTTACATTTGAGAGATAATTGAAAGTGAAACAGAGGTGGTCTACGATATTTTCAATTATAGATATTCAAATTCAACTTTACATTTGCTCTACATTTGTACAAAGTATCTCAATTACTTCCATGCAAGCAAGGTATTATTAAACAAATGCAAGAAAAGTACCTACTGATATGCATGTCCTCACGACTCACCTGCACATCTGGCAAAAACAGGGAGGTTCAAGAGGTGGAGCATAATGTGGAGATGATGGCCGGCTGAGGGTTAAATAAATATAATCATGAACAGGTTGTTATTACTCATTCTAGGAGGATTGTTTACTGCTGGGTCACTCCTTCCAGCTGTGATATAGACTGTTATTTATATATTTGCTTTTAATACCATTATACATTTGGGTTTTTGATTTTTGAGTTAGTAACATGTGGGTTTTCTGTTTTGAATAATTAACTTGCAAGTATTTCTGTAACAATGGCGTTTTCCTTCATAACAGCCTGCGCCTAGCTTTAGAATTTAATGGGTTTTTGGACCAAGCAAGATAAACAAGCTCCAGTTTAGAAAGTTGGGAGAGGTTTTTATTAAAGCTTAAGTGAAACACCTCTCGCTTAGAGAGTATTTCTTTAAGTTTTACTTTGGGTTTTGAGCAGTCCTGTGAAGTCCTTGGATGAAGATGACTGTATAGACCTGCGCTTCTGAGAAGGGAAGGATATAGTGAAACTAGATTATCTTGGAATCAAGAGTTAGTGTTAGTCCCAGATTAGAAGTGGAGTTTTAAGTCTTAAAAAAAAAAAAAAAGGTTACTTAAGATAGAAAATGTTTCGGCTCAGGTGTATAATAGCTCCAGGAACAAGCTATCTATAAAACAAATCACAAATGACTTATAAATACCGAGGTGTTAGAAACAGAGACTCTAGTGTGAATATTGAATGAGTGGTGTTTTGGGTAATATACAAAAGGTGTGTTTTGGATGCTATACAAAAACTTCTTTCTCTTTATAAAAGTGCATTTTGGGATTAATGGGATCATATTTTCACAATGCTTTTAAAAATCTTTGAATTTGTGTTATAAATAAATAGTTTTGTTTATTTTATCTTCATTTCTTTTGTAAATAAAAAGAAGTTCATGTGAAAGTAAAATCTACACTATTGCATACTTATCTTTCAGCAAGAGACCACTTTATTAAAACCAAAACATGATCCATTAAGCTAGATTTCATTCTGGGATCGGACTTATCCAGCAATCACATTAGCTTGGATCATTGTACAGTGGACAATGCTTTTAGCTTGGGCTGCGAGTAAGCTAACATACCTGCCCAAAAGACATCTAGTAAGTCATTAGTAAATCACTGCCTTTTCTCCTGCGAGTGTAACAAACTGGACAAACATAATGGGAGTTGATTCTGTCCCCCCGATTGTATAACTGCATTCATAGCACAGACTTGTCAGTACCATTAAAAAAAAAATTGGCATATATTTTTCATGCTCTCCTTTAATAAAAAGCAGAGTTAAAAGAACAGTCAAATCCACTCCACACCTATTCTCTCATGCTCAACTGTTTACTAAGCTATTTAAAAACCATCAAGTCTTTGTGCCAGAATAACTGGCCTTTGTCAGACCCTAAAACCTGTTGTGGCCACATTTAAATCTAGAAGTTTCCAATTATGGTCACACATTACAAACAGTTGCATTTTTCCCTCCAAGTGATTTTGTAAAAGTTTGACGAATGCTGTGATTAACCCTTTAAAAGGAGCATGACAACATTTTGTACTACATTCAATGTATTTTGCATCTTAAATGGATGAAAAGCATCCAATGGAGTGATCTGAATACCACAAATCTTAGGATCACTTGGAGTGACTTTACAACTAAGGATTAATTTGTTGTCAAATCTGAGGAAAACATGTGCCAGGAGTTTTGTTTGCAATTATAGAAGTCATAGAATCCCTACAGTGTGGCAACAGGCCCTTCGGCCCAACAAGTCCACACTGAACTTCACTATCCCACCCAGACCCGTCCGCTTGTAACCCACCTAATCTACACATCCCTGAACACTACGGGCAATTTAGCACGGCCAATCCACCTAACCCGCACATCTTTGGACTGTGGGAGGAAACCGGAGCACCCGGAAGAAACCCACGTAGACTCGGGGAGAACGTGCAAACTCCACACAGACAGTTGCCCGAGGCTGGAATCGAACCCGGGTCCCTGGTGCTGTGAGGCAGCAGTGCTAACCACTGAGCCACCGTGCCGCCCCAGTTCAGTGTGTTCAAAATAATAGGAGCCAATAACGATGATGAGTGAGCAAACTGTTTACTTAGACAGCCCACAAAATCATTAGTGCATCAAAAGCAAGCCAGATCTCTCCTAATTGCTATTATTACAGACTGAAGGCTCAGTGACCAATACTGAAATGAGTTTGAAGAACAACAGAAACCAAAGGAAAATTTAATTAAACAATCTTTGAAAACATAGTAGCTGAAATGCATACTCAAATCCAAATATTTGTTAGAAATTCCAGAAAAAGAGTTAACATTTAGTTGTTTCCCCAACCATCTCTCTTGAAGGCACTAAATTTCTCTGCCATACGTTCCAATGAACAGTGCTTTATGTTGTGCAAGTGCTATCCTTCACGCAAAAGCTGAGAAAATGAGGTACAGCAAGCTTCTTAGTCGTAGAACCACAATCAAACTAGATCCCCAGATCCAACATGCAATGCATTTTCTAGCAGAAATTATTAGGTAATCAAGAGAAATGAGAATCCTTACTTTCCCCTCCATTGTCAAGAGAAACCATATTATTGCCCAAGCTGAAACCAGCTATCTTCTGGTCTGTATGGCTCAATCACATAGCATTGTTACCAGCTGATCCATTCCACATCACCCACCCCATCTAATTGCTGACAGCTTAGCCATTTCTGGTCCCAGTAGTCAACAACTTAGTTTTGACTGGAAGATGGCACCTAAGCAAAGGGAGTTCGAAACCGTCATCATCACCCTTTCTTCATGTTAAAAAAAAAAAAAAACCCACTCTGGATCCATCCATTCCCATCAACTGTCACCCAGATTCTCACTTCCCTTCCTTGTGCTAGATCCTTTAATGGATCATCACCTTCCAGCTGCACTTGCTTCTTCCAGAATTTTCTGTCAAATTCCTTTTTTCTGGTTTCCACTCTGCCCAGAATACCAAAGACCACTCTGATCAAAATTGCCGACAATATCCAGTGTAACCCTCATGCCTAGTCTTCTCATTCTCTCAAACATTCAACATGGTCAATCATGCCACCTTCCTCTATGGTTCACTCAGTGGGACCTCCATAGGTAGATCCATTCCTGCATATCACAGTGCCACCAGCACATCTCCAGGAATGGCGGTTCTAGATCTCTTGCATGATTTTAGGCACCTCTCAAAAACTTGGCTACAAACTCGATCCTCCTTCCTGGTTATTTTCAATCAAGGTGAAACAAACTTCATGCAGCCTGGTTTATTGCATAACTGAGAGTCAAATTCAAATCCCAAATTTATTCATTGCAGATTATGCTTACCCTCAATCTTGCCTCCACTTACAGAAGAGGTGGTGCTGGAGGTCTTAAAAACAAAGGTAGATAAATCTCTGGGACCTGACCAGGTATTCCCCACAGCTTTGTGAAAAGCTAAGGAAGAGATTCCTGGGTCCCTTGCTGAGATATTTACATCATCAAAAGCCACAGAAGAGATGCTGGAAAACTGGAAGTTGGCTAATGTGGTGCCATTATTAAAGAAAGGCTGTAAGGAAAAGCCAGGGAAATATAGACCAGTGAACCTGACATTAGTGGTGCGCAAGTTGAGGGGATTCTAAGGGACGGGATTTATATGAATTTGGAAAGGCAAGGACTGACTAGGCACGGTCAACATGGCTTTGTGCATGGGAAATAGTGTCTCAATAACTTGATTGAGTTTTTTGAAGACGTGACAAAGAAAATTGATGTAGGCAGAGCAGTAGATATCATCCATATGGAGTTCAGCAAAGCATTCAACAAGGTTCCACATGGGAGCCCAGTTAGTAAGATTAGATCACATGGGATCTGGGGGGAGCCACCCAATTAGATACAAAATCGGTTTGAAGGTAGGAGACAGAGGATGGAGGTAAAGGGTTGCTTTTCAGGCTGGAGGCCAGTGACCAACGGTGCGCCACAGGGATCAGTGCTGGGTCCACTGCTTTTTGTCATTTATATAAATGATTTTGATGTGAACATAGGAGGCAAGGTTAGCAAGTTTGCAGATGACACCAAAATAGGTGGTGTGATGGACAGTGAAGAAGATTATCTCAATACAACAGGGCTTTGATCAGATGGGCCAATGGGCTGAGGAGTGCCAAATGGGAGTTTAATTTGGATAAAAGTGAGGTGTTGCATTTTGGGAAGGCAAACCAGGACAGGACTTATACACTTAATGGTAGCTCCCTGGGAAGCATTGCTGATCAAAGAGCCCTAGGGGTGCAGGTGCATAGTTCCCTGAAAGTGGAGTCTCAGGTACACAGGGTGGTGAAGGCAGCATTTGGCACGCTTACCTTCATTGGTCAGAGCATTGAGTATAGGAGTTGGTACATTGTGTTTCAGCTGTACAGTACATTAGAAGGGCCACTTTTAGAATACTGTGAATAATTCTGGTCCCCCTTCGATAGGGAGGATGTTGTTAAACTGGAGAGGGTGCAGCAAAGATTTACAAGGATATTGGCGTGACTGGAGGGTTTCAGTTTTTGGGAGATGCTGAGTAGGCTGGGGCTTTTTCACCTGGAGCAGAGGCTGAGGGGTGACCTTATAGAGGTTTATAAAATCACGAGGGGCAAGGATAAGGTGAACAGCCAAGGTCTTTTTCTTAGGGTGGGCGAGTCCAAAACTGGACAGCATAGGTTTAAAGGTGAGAGGAGAAGGATTTACAAAGGACCTGAGGGGCAACTTTTTCCACACAGAGTGTGTTGCACGTATGTAACTAACTGCCAGAGGAAGTGGTGGAGGTGAATACAATTACAACATTTAAAAGGCATTTGGATGGGTACATGAATAGGAAGGGTTTAGAGGGATTTGGGCCAAATGCTGGCAAATGGGACTAGGTCAGATTGGGATGTTTGGTCAGTGCGGTCGAGTTGGACTGAAGGGTTTGTTTCTATGCTGTATGACTCTATGACACTGAGAGCCACATCTGTGCTTTTGTCAATGTTATTCTTGCTGGGGACCCTTTAAAAGTTAAAGCTTTTATTAGAAACAGGCCTGCTTGTGATAGGAGATTAGATTCAGAATTAAGACATCACATAAACTACTAAACATTTTAATTGAAACTTACTGCACAAGTTAACAGTACTCTGGGAAACATACAAGAACTTTGCCAAATTCCAGCAACTAACTATTATGAACAACTGGGAGAAGCCACACTATCAAAGAACTGGGACAAAGAAAGTGCACAACGTCTTTATGACAGCTGTCATGTTGAAGTGCAGTGACTGATTCCTTCCTGTGAAGGGAATGCCAATCTTTGTGTAAAGATGAAGGATTTAGCTATTCATTTTACAGCTCCAATTAGTCCTGAAAGCATAGTATTTAATCGTGGGAAAAGAACATATTGTTTTTGCAGCACATAATTCTGCAAACTTACAAAGGTCAACATCTGTGAAAAAAATGTTACATTTGATAAGGAAAGATCAGTCTTTCAATTAGATAGAAGGTGCTTATCAATGAATTAAATTTACCCCAAATTTATTCTTCCCTTTGGGAAAATGTACCTGCAAAGACATCTGAAGCCATTTGGGATGTAGTTTAAGGCCTTAAATACAGGAACAGTTCTCAGCAAAGTTAAGCATGTACCCCTAAGACAAGAAAGCCAAAAGTCACAGTCAAGATAGAAGATCTTCTGTTGCCTATGTATTTTATAAAATGTGTCAAAGTATTCAATGTGATAAATCTGATTGAATTTTTTTGAAACAGTACTAAAGTAATTGACAGGGATGTTATTGAATCTTATAGTCTGTGGATACGATTTTCATGGATTTCCGTAAAGGCATTCAATAAAGTCCCTCAAGAGATTGTTAGCAAAAGTTGTAATTCATGAAATTAAAAGGTAAATTTGTGACCGCTGTAGGAAACTGGCTGAGTGGCACGAGACAAACAGCAGTATAATGGGCAGGATGTGTCTAGTGGTGTCCACATGGATGTGTTGATGCCTCAAGTATTCGCCTTTAGTGACTCAGATGATGGAATAGAAAGTGTAATGAAAATAAAGACTTGAAGCCATACCCATTGCCAAGTGCACTTACTCTGCAACTGGCATCAGTGTAGTCCAGTCTCACTGCAGAAATGTAATGTGCTGGGCACAGTCAGGTTTATGCAATCTGTTTTGATGCAGAGTCACTAGGCTCAAAACATTAACTCTGTTTTTCTCTTCATAGATGCTTCCAGACATGCTGAATTTCTCCAGCACTTGGTTTTTGTTTCAGGTTTATGCAGGATCACTCAAATCAGCTAGAAAAATAAAACATTGCAAAAACCACCAATACTCACTGGATTTTTCCCACCATATCTAGTAGTTTACTGCGAATCACCTTAATCACTTCAAAACTGCAACAAAAATACCAACAGACAGAGATCAGCAACCAAAACAGTTAAGATTTAAATGCAGCTGCTACTGTGATCAATTATTAATCAGTGCACAAAATCCTCTTCATTCCCACTCTCCCTACCACCCCACCCACACCCTCCCCTCTCCCTCATCTTTGATGATTTGCATTACCCATAATGGGCTTTGCCTGTAAATACTCAGTTGGCTAAAATGGTGTTTTTACTGGTGTTGGTTATTAGTTTCTTAAAAAAAAGCAAAAAAAAGTCAGTGATTTTGGTGGTGGGAAGGTCACTCATTTGAGTGTTAATATTTCTGGGTAACAGGTAAGAAATAATGTCCTCTCCATTCCTGCTGTTCCCAATCACACCCCCCTCAACCCTTCACTTTTGCTGGCTCACATTGCCCATAATTGGCTTTGCTTGTAAATATCTAATTGGCTACATGAGCATTTTACTGGTAGCGGTTAGTATTTTTAAAAAATTATATTCAGTCTATACATTTGAGTTACACAAAATGACAAGACAACTGGAAAACATTAAAGGGAGATTAGATAAATAGATAAAAGATTAGATATCTAAAATGATAGGTACTGTCCAGCATTTTTGTTCTCCTACTCGTGGTTCACACCTAACGTTAATTTTGTGTTTACCTTTCTGAAAGCAAATTCACACTGGGGTATAACTTCACTGCCCTCATACTTACAATTTAACAGCTTATCAGCAAACTATTGCATGAAGGTCATCATAGCCTAAGCTTTTCTGTCCACATCTGCATGTTCAAGCAGCACTCTAGTTGCTACTCCAGCTGAAATCAGATCAGTATGGTCCAAGAAGGGGAGGCAATGGCCTTGTGGTATTATCGCTGGGCTGTTAATCCAGAGACCCAGCTAATGTTCTGGGGACCCAGGTTTGAATCCCACCATGGCAGATTGTGAAATTTGAATTTTAAAAAAAAGTCTAGAATTAAGAGACCATGAATCCATTGTCAATTGTCAGAAAAACCCACCTGGTTTACTAAACGTCCTTTAGGGAAGGAAACTGCCATCCTTACCTGGTCTGGCCTACATGTGACTCCACACCCACAGAATGTGGTTGACTCTCATCTCTGGGAAATAAGGGATGGGCAATAAATGCTGGCCTAGCCAGTGATGCTCACATCTCATGAATGAATAATAGTGTTCTTCCACTCTGTATAGTTAAATCAATCCCTGGCTTGATCATGGTAGATTTGGAAAAATGCCAGGCCATGATGAGGTTTCAGATTGTGTTTGAGTACATTCAGCTGCTGATGGCTCACAGTGCCTGATGGATGCCATCCTGAAGGTAGTACACACTGCTGCCACTGCACAGTGGTGAAGAGAGCGAATATTGCAGGTGGTGGATGGTGAATCAATCAAGCAGACTGCTTTGTTCTGGATGGTATTGAGCTTCTTGAACGCTGTTGTAGCTACACTCATCAAGACAAGTGGGGTGTATTTCATCACAGTTATGACTTGTGCTTTATATATTATATTATATATCAATCAATGACTTGGATGACAGAAGTGAATGTATTATCACCAAGTTTGCAGATGATGCAAGAATAGGTGGGAAGGCAAGTACAGCGGGTGAAACATAGAGGGATAGAGACAGATTGAATGAGTGGGCAAAAACATGGCAAATGGAACATAATGTGGGAAAATGTGAGGTTACGCATATTATCACGAAGAATAGAAGAGCTGAGTATTATTTAAATAGGGAAAGACTGCAGAAAGCTACAGATCTGGGAGTCCTGGTGAATGAATCATAAGTTCTATCACAATCCAAGTTCAGCAGATAATAGGGAAGTCAAATGAACTGTTAGCCTTTATTTCAAAGGGAATGGAATATGAACAGTGAGATTTTGCTAATACAAGGCAGTAGTCAGACCTCACCTGGAATACTGTCCGCTTTTCGAAGGAAAGATATACTGGAATTGCAGGCTGTCAAGAGAAGGTTCATCAGATTGACTCCAGGTAGGCAGGGATTTTCACATGAGGGAGAGGTTCAGTAGATTGGGCTCATACTAATTGGAGTTTAGAAGAAGGGGAGGAGGCTTTACTGAAATGTACAAGATTCTTAGGAGGTTTAAAACAGGGTAGTTGCATAGAGGTTGTTTCCCCTTGTGGGGTGGGGTGGGGAGGCGCATAATCTCATATGCAATGGGTTGCCCATTCAAGACAGAGATGAGGAGGAATCCATGGACTTCTACACCATAGAGGGCTGCTGAGGCTGGGTCGTTGAGTACGTTCCAAGGCTGCGAGACAGATTTTCAAATTATTAAGCAATCAAGGTTTGTGGGCATAAGGCAGGAAAGTGAAGTTGAGCATTATTAGATCAGCCATGATCTCATTGAAGGCAGGGCAGACTTGATGGGCTGAATGGTCTACTTCTGCTTTTATATCTTATGGTCTTGTACAACCAGCCCTCTAAAACCTATCTATTTCATAAAGCAGCCAAATATTTTAAGACACGTATCCTTCAAAACTAAGGGTCAAAGTCAGACTGGATGATGTATGGCAGAGTAGTGTTTATTTTTCATTTAACCTATGCTACATTTGCCCATATAAACTGAAATCAGCCCTGTAAGTACTAACTTCCATCAAAACCAAGATTTATTCGGTTGTTCAAGTCAAGAATTTAAATCTAAGATTAACCTTTATATACAATGTTAGCTTATGTTAACTGCCAGATTTTTAAAAAAAACTAAAACTACTTCCATCTAGTTCTGAGTGGTTAACATAGATTACTTACCTTTTCATTGACGTTACAGAATAAACCAAAACATAGCCATGAACATCCACAGTGTGGGACCGGCTGAACATAGAATACTCATCCTAAAAGTAGAAACAGGAAAATATGCTGAAGAAGGAAATAAACTTCAGTTCGGTTATCAAGTTGGTGAACTGTGGTCAAAACTATTAAAAAAAAAGGCAGCACAAAAAAAAAAAAAAAAAAAAAAAAAAAAAAAAAAAAAAAAAAAAAAAATGTGTATGTTGTACGAATGTGCCAAAAAATAATACAACACATTCCATTTTCCAAACCTGACACTGATTAACATGGATTTCACGATGTCCAGCTTAATGAAGTATTGCATTGACAGAGTACTTAACTCAGGAATTTGGTGGCAAGGGCATAAATGCTTTTCTGATCTTTTTCAAAACAATATTTAAAGTGAGGGAGCAGGAAACAGCAAGGCCTGGTGAGTAGTCGAGAAAGTAAAGGCACAGGATGGAGTTTCAGCCACAGGGAACAGTGTGCCATGTGGGAAATGCTGATGCTTATCCATAGAACAGAATCCCTACACTGTGGGAAAAGGCCATTCAGCCCAACAAGTCCACACCGACTCTCCAAAGAGCATCTCACCCAGATTCACACCCCTATCCTATGCCTGTAACTCTGCATTTCCCATGGCTAACCCACCTAACCTACACATCCCTGAACTCTATGGGCAATTTAGCATAGCCAATCCACCGAACCTGCACATCTTCGGGCTGTGGGAGGAAACCAGAGCATCCGAAGGAAACCCATGCAGACATGGGGAGAACATGCAAACTCTGCACAGACATACAGTTGCCCAAGGCTAGAATTGAACCCGGGTCCCTAGCACTGTGAGGCAGCAGTGCTAACCACTGAGCCACCACATATATGAGCAGTGTCACTAATTGGAGCTTTGCTCCACAGGCTCAATACAAGATCCCTTGCTTTTTGTGGCAAGCGTTTGGACTTGAATGGTTAAGAAGTTTGCAGACAATACAAAAGCTGGCAGTGTGGTTGAGTGCAACTTACAATGGAGTGGAGTTGAGCTTCTCAAGGAGCTACGTGGAGCAAGGAAAGAGGTGTTTGGTTCCTTTTGTCTAAGCAAAGCAGGTGACTGAAGCAGTCGTCCAACAGTTAAGAGCTTTTTGCAAGGTGTGTGAAGCAGGTGAGTATTTCTAGTCTTTAATTTGTGTCTAGGTCTCTGGAAATTTCTTTCCCCCCACCCCTCTCTATTTCTTAAAAAAAATATAGCATGTGAAATACAAGATGGATACTGGTATTTAAAAAAAATTTACAACAAAGCATAAGGAGGAGGCATACACGAGTGATTAAGTAATAAATTAACATACAAGAGAGATGGTAGGCCACGTGATGAGTTGCTGTTGCGGTAAGTGGAAGTTGCTGGACACCAAGGTGATCCAGAGTGAACACATCTATAGCAAGTGTTTACAGCTCGAGCGATTTGGAATCAGTTGATGAGCTCGAGTCCAAGCTACAAATAATACATTACGTCAGGGAAGAGGAAAGCTACCTGGTCACTTTTCTCTAGGAGGCAGTTACACCCTTCAGATTAAGTCATTCAAATTTGGTTTACAATCAGGAACAGAAGTGCATGACTGTAAGTGAAGCAGATTTGGGGGATCCAAGAGGTAGGTTTTGAGGAACCTCAGTCACTGCAGTCGTCCAACAGTTAAGAGCTTTTTGCAAGGTGTGTGGACAAAAGCAGGGACCGCAGGGAGGATGAATGAACTCCATAGCACCACGGTACAGGGACACATTCAAATGGAAAGGGAAGCAATAGGAATGTAGTGTTGGTAGGGGACAATATAATTAGGGAGATATATACTGGTCTCTGCAGCCATAAGCGCGAGTTCCAAAGGCTGTGTCATCTGTGCAGTGCCAGGGTTAAGGGTGTTTTCTCAGGGCTGATGAGGAACTTCGAGCGGGAAGAGACCGGTCCAGTTGTCAATGTCCACATTGGTACCAATGACATTGATAGAAGGACATGCTGAAAGATTTTGAGCTGTTAGGAGCTAAGTTAAGAAACAGAAGCTCCAAGGTAATAAAATCAGGATTATTACCTGAGCCACAGGCAAACTGACAAAGGTAAATAGTCAAGGAGTTAAATGCATGGCTCAAAGATTTGAGAGAGAGGAACAGTTTTCAATGCGTGGGGCACTGACACCAGTACTGGGATAGAAAGGAGCTGTTTGGGTCAGATGGGCTTCACCCAAACTGTGATGGGACCAATATCCTGGTGAATTGAATAACTAGGGCTGCAGAGAGGGCTTTAAACTAATTGAGGGGTGACAAAAGAGGGGATTTTGGGAGAGGGGAAGCATAGGTTTGCAAAGCAACATTGCAGTATTACAGGACATCTGTTTGGACAAACAACGCCCAGTGTGGGACAAGGACAGACTGTACAAATATAGAAAAAGCAGCAGTAAATAGGATCAAAGAGGGAAAAATGGTAAAAATACAAAATGAATTGCTCTTTGGTTGAATGTCTGGAGTATGCAGAACAAAATAAATGAATTAACAGCACATGTACAGGTTAATGGCTATGATTTAATAGCCGTTACAATGACATGGTAATAAGGTGATCAAAGTTGGGGACTAAATATTCAGGGATGTGTGAGATAGTAGGAACTGCAGATGCTGGAGAATCCGAGACAAC